GAATGGTTGGACCTCTATATTCCCGAGCCAATTTTAGGACTAAATTCATGATCACTGGGTTGGCGCATGCTTTCAGTGCTCTGTGTGTTTTATTTGTGAATCCCCATCATGCCTGCAGGAGCCCAGAGTGTGCAGGGTGATGACCATCTCAGGGTGATTTAATGAGCTTCTGTGACAACCATCAGTATAAAAGCAACAGGCTTATCAACCAAAAAAAAAAAAAAAGGTGGGAATCTTAGAAATGATTAGAAAAAGGGAGAAATGAGTATTGAGAAAAGAAGGTCTTGAGAAAAGATGGAGACAAGGGCTTTTGGACTACATTCCTCGCTGTTAAGAGAGAACGGAGCTGAGTGTGGGTGAGGGCACTAACAGAGCCAAGTCCCAGGGCCTTCCTGTGATCTGATGAGCTCTGGTATGAAGTTACCAGGGGAGAAGCTAGAGCTATAGAACTCTTTATACTTTGGGCAGGGTGTGGAGAAGATATCTCCAGTGTACTTTGAGATATCTCTCTTAAGGATATCAAGTAAAACCTATTAATAAAAAATACCCAAAGATTTTCTTTTCATAAGCAATCTATATTCCCTGTATCTCTGAAGTTACTTTTCCTCTGGAATGTGGTGCTAGCAAATAACAAATTGATTCAAGGAGAATTTATATTCTTACAATATTGTCCATCTATGAACATGGCATGTATTCTGTTTATTGAATTAATCTTTTATGTCTCCTAAAAAAATAACTTCTACCTTTGTTAATTAAATTAAGCCTAGAACCCTTAACTCTTGTCCTTGACAGTTGTCTTTTCTTAGGGATCTCTTAGAGCAGGTAGTAGCTGAGAGCACAGAGCTGGAAGTTGGACGGAGATGTGTTTCTGTTCTACCTCTGCCATTTTCCTTCCTGTATAATTTTGGATACATCACTACACTTCTCTGTGTTTTTTTTTTTTTAAAGATTTTATTTATTTATTTGAGAGAGAGAATGAGAGACAGAGAGCACGAGAGAGAGGAGGGTCAGAGGGAGAAGCAGACTCCCTGCCGAGCAGGGAGCCCGATGCGGGACTCGATCCCGGGACTCCAGGATCATGACCTGAGCCGAAGGCAGTCGCCTAACCAACTGAGCCACCCAGGCGCCCCACTACACTTCTCTGAATTTCAGTGTTCTCACCTGTAAATTGGGGTTAATAAAAGTGCATACCTCATCAGTTTGTTGAGAGAGTTGAATGAGATAATGTGTGTAAGGCAGTGCCTAACCCAAGCACTCAATTATTCATAATTACTGGCAACCTCGCTTCTATCTGCCTATAAAAATCGAGGTCCTGCTCTTCCATCAGCACTTTCGCCTAAATGTAGACACATTCACCTTTCCTGAGTACCTTTTAGCATAGTTGAGGTAAGGCTGGAGTATTGAATAAGACTGTCTAAAGACTAGGGAATAACATGGCGCGCCTGGGTGGCTCAGTCGTTAAGCGTCTGCCTTCGGCTCAGGTCATGATCTTAGGGTCCTGGGATCGAGCCCCACATTGGGCTCCCTGCTCAGTGGGAAGCCTGCTTCTCCCTCTCTCACGCCCCTTGCTTGTGTTCCTTCTCTCACTGTGTCTCTCTCTGTCAAATAAATAAATAAAATCTTAAAAAAAAAGACTAGGGAATAACAGCAGATAAATAAACACAGAAAATAATATGAAACCAGATCATTGTACTTTACACTATAAGGCTTGCTTTTCAGAGCACCATCTTATTCTTGATCCTCATTTATTTCCACAAGGTGGGTACCATCTTAGCAACCCACCACCCAGGAGTGTAAGATGAGAACTTCTGAATCCTCTGACCTCTGAACCCAAGAGCACTAGGATTGGTTCATTTCCTGGCATACCCAAGACCTGCCTTCTTAGTTTCACATTCTTGTCTTTTTGCTCAGATGACTGTTAGTCTGGAATAACCACAGTTTTCCAGGGAGATTCCACCCATCCTTTGCCCACAGGGGTGTGGCCTTTCCCTACAGCCATAACTTGACAACAATATTAGAATATAACACAATAGTATTGGCATTCATACAAAAAAAATATATGGTTGATGGTGGGGGCTTTTTGTTATATCTTTCCATAGTATTGTAGTTTTCTTTATATGGGTAATATAACTTCTGTTTATTCTTAAGTTCCTTATATTTTGCATTTTCTATCATAATTTAGTATTTATACTTTATTTCTTTTTTGTGTCATTGATCAGAAATTCTTTTTTTTTTTTTAAAGATTTTATTTATTTGACAGAGAGAGACACAGTGAGAGAGGGAATACAAGCAGGGGCAGAGGGAGAGGGAGAAGCAGGCTTCCCGCTGAGCAGGGAGCCTGATGTGGGGCTTGATCCCAGGACCCTGAGATCACGACCCGAGCTGAAGGCAGACGCTTAACGACTGAGCCACCCAGGTGCCCGTGATCAGAAGTTCTAAAACAATATTAAAAATGATAGAAGATATCTTTATTTTGCTTGTTTTTTTAAAAAAAGAAATGCTGGGGCACCTGGCTGACTCAGTCAGTGGAGTGTGTGACTCTTGGTCTTGGAGCTGTAGGTTCAAGCCCCACGTTGGGTGTAGAGATGACTTAAAAATCTTTAAAAAATTATAATTAAAAAAAGAAGTGATGTAGGGGGCCTCTGGCTGGCTCAGTCGGTGGAGCATGCGACTCTTGATCTTGGGGTCATGAGTTCGAACCCCACATTGGGCATAGCACTTACTTAAAAAATGAAAACAATAAACAGACAAATGAGAAAGAAATGCTGGTAATATTCTTTGGTAAGTATTATTTTACCTCATGTTTAACAGAGATGTTCTTTATTATGTTCTCCTTGTCATTTTCATGTATATCCTTATCCTTTTACGTTATAGTCCCAATTTGACATAATAGGTATTAAACGTTACGATTTGTTTTTTTGGATATCTCTTCAAAATGATTCTTGATCCATCTGGCAAACATTTATTAAGCTTCTATATGTCAGATACTTTGCAGGGATGCTGGGAAGACAAAGATGGATAGCTCCACAGACTAGTCAGAAGAAGGACAAGATAATCAATGGCGTAATAGCTACTCTTGTTGGGAGGACAGTAGATCACATAGACTTGCCAAATCACTGTGTTGTACACCTGAAACTAATGTAACATCATGGGTCAACTGTACTTCAGTTAAAAAAATAAAAGAAGGACAAGATGCCAACCATTACAATACAGTGTGATTAATACTAAAACACTCTTGAAGTGTGGTCTAACCTAGAGCTTCCCAAATGATGCACCTGACGATTTGGTCTGGGTCACAGCTAGAGCTGATATTCAGCTGGTATACACCAAAACGGTAAGACCATTTAAAATATTAAAATACTTCCATAGTAAATCACTACTGCTCTGAGCACCCTGAGTGCTCCCTCCCTGACCCAGTTCCTCCTGAGAATCTACCAACTAAAAGGGTAACACCTGGTATATATAGCAGGCGGCCACCAGGACCCCGATCTAATGCTACTACCCCCCATGGCTTGTACATTCTGATTGGCCAATTTCTGTGCCTTAGCACTTGATAAATACTGCAAATAGCACCCTTGGTAATAGTCAATATATCCATCCCTTCAGCTCTCAGGGTAGCCAGTGGGCTAGGGATAACCTGATATGCCTTCTCCCCTTCTTCAGCTAGGAGCAGCCTCATTTGCATACTCCAGTGGCCCATGCAAATATTTTCATTTTCTGTGTATGCCATGAAAAGTTGGGCCGCACTGATTTAACCTATAGATAGTATTATACTAATAGACTGCCTTAGGCTTGAACTATTGGTGCTTCCCTTGGATCAATCCTTTGTGACTGTGCTTTGTTCTTTTCAAGCTTTGCTAAATTATGTTTGCTACTGTCTTACCTGGAGTTTTTATATCTATATTTGGAGTTTATATTGGTCTCTGATTTTTGAGTTTTATCTTTCTCAGGTTTGGGAATCAGGACCATATTTGTTTCATGGAATGAATTAGGTACATCCTAACTTTTTCTGTTTTCTTCCTTGAAGATTTGAAACTACTTATCATTAGGTTAAGGGACCTGGTGTGACAGTTTCACAATTTACTCCTCAGTTATTAATTTATTCAGATTTTCTACTTGGAGTATGAATTTTAATATTTTATATTTTTGCCGGAAAAAAGGCATCCATTGCATTATATTTTAAAAACCTATTAGCATACAATTGTGCATAGAATTTCCTTACAATTAAAAATATTGTTTATACTGGCTGTTATACCCCCTTTCTCATTTCTAATTTTATGTGTGTTTTTCTCACATAGGTTTGCCAGAGGCTTAGCTACTTTATTAGCCCTCTCAAGCTACCAGCTCTTGAATGTATTTATTAATTCCACTGTTTTTACATCCTCTAATTTATTTATTTCTGCTTTTATCTTTATTATTTCCTTCCTCCTATTTTCCTGTGCAATTTTTTTGCTCTTTTTCTAAACTGTTAAGCTCAATGTTTAGTTTAGTTTATTGGCCTTAAATGTTAACGGTGAGAGGTAAAGGCTGTTGGACGTCTGTCAAAAGCCCTTTTCTCTGAGCTAGAGACAGGGAGGGAACGGAAAGTGGGGACTGCCGGGACCCCAAAGCCAAGAAAGCCGAGGGTGGCAATGAACGTTTTTCTCTTGCACTTCAGCGCTTTGCCCGAAGCGTTTCTCCACAGCGGGGCAGTAGGGAGCAAGGAGTGTGGGAGCGGGCTTGCGGGAGCCCCGGGATTCGGCCGTGCGGGGGGCCACTGTGCAGATTGTGTGTGTGAGCCCTCCAGCAGCCCGCCTGCTGTCGGTGCGGGCGCCGGGCTTCTGGTTCTTGTTCCCTGGTGTTTGCTTTCTCTGGGTCTTGCTTTCCTTCCTGCTCGCCACAGCGGTGAGGAAGTTCAGCTCTCTGCACCACGGTTTGAGGCCACGCCCAAAATTGCCTGACTCCCTCCAGGGGTCAGGCCGAAGGAGTCTTTGAGCTTTGACCTCAAGCTGGGACGTGTCTGCTGCCCCCGTCACCGTCATTCCCTCCTCTTATCTGCCTCAAGGGTTTTCACATGAGAGGCTCAAGGCACAGACTGGCTGGCTTACAGTCGCAGGAGGAGTGGAAGGAGATGGCTGGCACCCTTGAATTGTTTTAGAGATGTGTGTGGAGGAGGGCGAGGACGAGGACGAGGAGGAGGAGGAAAGGTACAAAATGGGAGTAGGGGACAAAGAAAGGTATCCCCAGGGAAAAGAGTAAGTCGGGATGGGGAAGGTCCATACTTTCCTTCCCCAGCCCAGAGATCCTGCCTCTGAATATCCCCCATCAAAAACTTGTTTCTTCCACCCTGGCTCCTGTTAGGAATCAGTAGGGGGCAGCAGTCCCAATCCTAAGTGTAGGGACAATAGGAGGTGCCTAATGCCTACAATCCCGGTAAGATCCGACATCTATCCACCCACCCCTCTGCTCCCTGCTCTTCACCCACACTAGCCCTCTTTCCCTCCTCAAATGTGCCAAACTCTTTCCCAACTCCTGGCCTTTGTACATTCTTGGCCCTCTGCTGGGAGCACGCCTCTTCTGGCTCTTCTCATGGCTGGCTCTTTCTCTCAAGTTAGGTCTCAGCTCCAATGAACTGTCACCTGCTTAGAGAGGCCTTCCCTGACCACCTTAGCCTCCCGAAACATTGCCCACCCCCACCCCAAGCTACTCTTAATCACATTTTCTTCTCGAAAATCTTATTTGTTTACTGGTCTGTCTCCACCTGAATGGAAGCTCCACTAGGCCAGGGATCTTACTGCCTTGTTCACTGCCGTATGTCTAAGTGCCCTTAGCCAGTGTTCAGCTTACAGTACACGCTCAATAGATCTGTCCTGAAGCAATGAATGAACCCGTGTGCCAAGCTGTGTGCTGGTGGTACAAACCTAGAGGGAGCTCATAGCACAGTGGGAGAGAAGGATTTGTAAATGGATAATTACTAAATGATGGGAGGCACATGTCCTCTAACATCATAGGCTGTGCCTCTGTGTTCAGAGAGGCCTGGTTTTAAATCCTGGCTCTGGGGCGCCTGGGTGGCTCAGTCAGTTAAGCGTCTGCCTTGGGCTCAGGTCATGATCCTAGGGTCCTGGGATCGAGCCTGGCAGCAGGCTCCCTGCTCAGCGGGGAGTCTGCTTCTCCCTCTCCCTCTGCTCCCCCTGCTTGTGCATTCGTGCACCCTCTCTCTCTCTTTCTGTCAAATAAATAAGTAAAATCTTAAAAAAAAAAAAAAACCCTGGCTCTACCACTTACTAGATACATGACTTTGGGTAGTTGCTCAACCTGTCTGGCTCAGTTTCCTCATTTGTAAGATGAGGATAATAATAATAATAAAATGATAATACTGATCCCATAGGATTGTTATGAACGTGATATGTAGATAAAGGGACAATACCCTGTTCGATACATGGGAGTTATTATTATTGAGTATGGTACACACTTAGAGACTATGCCGTGATTCTAAATCTTTTTCATTGTTGTTGCTTTTGTCTACCTTTGGCTCCAGTTGCTCTAATGGAGAGCAGTCCAGACCTGGAAGGAGCCGCAGTGGTGTTCATTAATGGCAAGCCCATTCAAAATAGCTTGGGCCGGGCTGGTGGAACTGGGAAGTGCTTCTCTGAGAGAGAGGGGTGCCTCCTACTTTCCGTTCCATCTTACAAAGCCGGGCCAGGATTGGGAAATTAATTCAGGTCTTTAAATGCTGATAAATGCAGAGGCATTTACTACTAATATTTCAATCAAGTGTCAAGATAGAACTGATTAAAAGAGGATTCAGAAGCTTCTAGTTGATGGAGGTTGTATCCCTTAACCATTCTAATGTAAGACATCATTTTAATTTTTTGTTTATTTGACCCCAGTAAATGCTACATTACTAATGCTATAAGAGAAAAAACGTACAATTTGTACAGTGCCATTTTGCATTCATTTGAAAGAGGAATGTATTTTTAATGCATTTGGCATCCTTCTGGCTCTCCTTAATAATTATAGGACTAATTAAACATATACTTGTAAGCAATCAGTGTCAGAGCTAAAAGGGACTGTAGGGATTATTCAGGCGAACGCTTCATTTTGTGGAGGAAAAACTGAGGCCAGGTGTCTTGCTGGAGGACATCAGCCTTGAAGAAAGCAGTGTTAGGACGTTTAGTCTGGTGGCATATTAACAAGCCTCCCCTTGTTCTGCTAACAACGGAGCCTCCACCTTTCTGTTCTGGGCCATCCCCCCCGCCCCCCGGGTTCCCATTTCATTCATTCAACAAAGCAATCGAGGGCCTACTGTGTGCCACCCTCGTTGTTCGGCTGGCAGTCTGGAAGAGAGACAGACAAAAAGACCAGCAAACGGGGAAGCATCCAGGAGGCTTACCTGATCCAGACCGGAGAGGGAGGGGGGATGGGAGGAGGCTGTCATCTACCGCTTCTTGTCATTCCATCTAGACCGGGGAGAGCCGAAGTTTGAGTGGGAGTCGCCCATGTGAGCCGGGGTGGGAGAGAAGCCACGGGTTCTGGTCAGAGGCTTACTGTGCACAAAGGTCAGGCACTAGGAGAGGCCGTGGTGTGGCTGTAACAAGGAATGAAGTACTGATACCTGCCACCACATGGAGGAACCTCAAAGACAGGATGCTCAGTAAAACAAGCCTGTCACGAAAGAACAAATGTATGATTCCATGTCTAGGAAAAGTCCAGGATAGGGAAAGCCATGGAGACAGAAAGTAGATTGATGAGTGGTTGCCTAGAGCTGGGACAGCTGGGGAGGGGGTTGGGAGGGCAATGGATAAGGGGCGTGGAGTTTCTCTTTGGAGTAATGAAAATGTTCGGAAATTGTGGCGATAAATGCACAATTCTGTGAATGTACAAGAGGCCACTGAAGTGTACACTTAAAAAAAGAAAACAGAATGTGTCATGCTCTAGAAACTAAAAGACATGCTATGGCCAGAGGATAGAGAGAGGGGGAAGGTATGGCAAGAGATAAGGTTAGAGAGATCTTATTACGACTCAAAGCTGACATTTAGAGGGCACGTTTTCAGTACGATGTATGTATTGACAAAATATTCAAAAACAACCCTAGAAGGGATGGAAGCGTAATTATCTCATTTTACAGATGGGAAAAGTAAGACTCAGGGAGGTTCATGTGCTCAGTTACATAGCTACCAAAAGTGGTAAAGCTGAGATTTGAACCCAGCCAGTCTTGCTCCTCGGTCTGACCTAATATTACACTGTAAGTGAAAGCAAGATCTGATCACGAAGGGCCTTGGAAACCATGCGAAAGAGTTTTAATTTTTGATTCAGGTCCCTTTGAAGTGTTTTAAACAGAGGTGATAAGATCAGATCTGTGTTGGAAGACATTGATTGCATTCTTGTTGCCATGTGACCGAATGGATTAGGGAGGAGTGACTCGATCAGAAGCAGTGAGTTCTGTAAGGAGTTGGTCTGAACTTGGGTGCCTGGAGTGAGAATGGCAGTAACAATGGGGATGAAGAGAAGTGGATGGATTTCAGAAATGTTTAGGAGAATTCACTGACAGGACTTGCTGGTTGACTGAATGTCGGAGAGTAGGAGTTGAGGCTGACTCAGGATCTCCCTTGGGCAGCTGGGTGATGCTTTCTCTGAGATCGTGACAAAAGGACAAATTCAGACTTGGGCATGTTGAGTTAAGTTCAAGTTTAAAAGTTGAGGAAGAAGCTGGATATTAAGGTCCAAAAACCAAAAGGACAGACCACACTAGAAATACATATTTGGGGGGCCCTGGCTGGCTCAGTTGGTAGAGCATGCAACTCTTAATCTCAGAGTTGTGAGTTCAAGCCCCATGTTGGGCATAGAGCTTACTTAAAACAAAAACAAAAACAAAACAAAACAGAAATACACATTTGGGGAGTTATCAGCTTATACATGATGTTTGAAGCTATGGGGGTATGTGGGAATGCTCAGGATGATGCGCCAATTGAGAAGAGAAGCAGGCCTAAGACATAGCTGTGTACCCCACTGTTTAAGGACTGACAGATACGAGGAGCCATAGAGTAGGACAAAAACCAGGAGGATATGGCATTATAGAAGCCAAACGAACAGAATGTTTCAAGAACAAGGGAAGGTTGACTGTGTCACATACATCTGAGAGCTAATGACAGCAAAGTGCCCATTGGGTTTTGCAGTAAGGAGTCCATTGGTAAGTGCAATTTCAGTGGAGTGTGGGAAGAGAAAGACTGATTATGGTCATTGAGAGAGTGATTCATAAAAAGTTTGCTTTTTCTTTTTTCACAGATCCTACCAGCTGATTTTTCTACTTGAGTTTCTCTCTGTCTAGGCTGGTCTCGTCAGCCCTTCTCCCAACCCTAATTTTGGTAGCTCCTGTTGGACACTCAGGCTCCTTTCCCTTTAAAGCTCCATTTTGGAGGTGCCTGGATGGCTCAGTCAGTAGAGCATGCGACTCTTGATCTCAGGGGGTTGTGAGTTTGAGCCCCATGTTGGGTGTAGAGATTACTTTAAAAAAAAAAAGAAAAGAAAGCTCCATTTTGCTTTAAGGGTTTTGTTTTTGTTTTTGTTTGCTTTAAGGGTTTTCCTGGTGATAACTAAATGGAAACAGGCAGAAGACAAAAAACAAATCTGGAAAAGTGACTTAAGGCTTCTAGAAATCTGATAACTTTCTTATGATTATTTCCTAAAATATTTCTGCAGGTATTATGTGATAAAAGGGTTCTATAATTAAGCTTGTTTTCTTGCTATCTGACATCTGAGAGTCTTTAATATGCTAATACACACCATGAATCTGTCAGTGCCCTGAGCGTAGAATTAATCATGCAGTGTTTCTCAAACTTTCTTGATCATGGAACCCTCTTGTTGAGGAGCATTTGTAGGATTAATTTTCCACAGAAGACACTTTGGGAAAGTCTTACCTGTGTTTATAATTCCAAATACACTTTTCAGATAGTTCTAGAGGTTTAAAAGCCCCCTCACTACTACTCGTCCACTCCTGAGGGTGGAGCTCATGCTCCTTTACCGCCTCTTCCAAGTACCATCCTCTTACTCTTCACCACCATTCAGGTCAAGCCTGAGAGGGAGGTGCATACAGGACTGGAGAAATGGGAGGTTGGGAACCCAGCTAGGAAGCGGGGCTTTATTCATCCATCCATTCATTCAGAGATTTATTGGGTGTGTGCTATGTCCCAGACATGGGGCACAGTCC